ATCTTAAAAAAAAATTCTACTGTTATTTACTTTGTATTTGGGGGCTTCTTTTTTTTATTTTTTAAGATTTTATTTATTTATTTGACAGAGAGTACACTAGAGAGAGCACAAGCTGGGAAAGCAGCAAAGGGAGAGGGAGAAGCAGATTCCCTGCTGAGTAGGGAGCCCAAAGCAGGGTTCAATCCCAGAGTCCTAGGATCATCACCTAAGCCTAAAGTAGTCGCTTAACCGACTGAGCCACCCAGGTGCCCCTGGGAGCTTCTATATCAGATTTCTTTTGACAGTTTCCAATAAGGACCCTCCACACTACCCCTAAAAGCTTTAAAAGTTTACAAATTTTCCAGATTAATTTATCTCTAAATTCTTTTCAGTCTGCTAAATCTTTCAAGGGCAAATATAAGATGTTCACATGTGTATTATAGAAACATTTAAACATCTTCCAGTTTTTCTGTTCTATTATTTACGGTCTTCTCCAATTGGAGAGTTGCAAGGAAACCATGGTGGTCCTGTAACACAGCTCAGCCCAGTCTGATAGCCTACTCTTTGCAGGCATACTCATCTACCAATGTATTTTTTCCTCTGAATTCTGGACCTGGTCCGAAAATTTTGCTCGGTACAGTGTTCTGGATAACCAGTACCAACCAATTGGCGTTGGCAAGAAATGAAGCTCGTTTGCCATCCCTGTAAGTTTCTTCAGGTAGGTACATGGACTTACCTTATGCTATGTTTGATTTCTCTAATGGTTCCCTCTTGGCGCTGTTCTTTCCATCTGTTCTGAAGGCTGCCCTTCTGTTTGGTTATCTGCCCTTAAGCAACTTCCCGTCTAACACCTGACAGTCTGGGGTTAGAACCAGAGACAAGGGTATATATTGGTTATAACACCAGACACCTACTGGGTCTGTCCATATGGACATTTTTCAGGAGAAAGTGTTACAAGTTAAAGAAGATAAAACAGTACGTTGTTGCTTAAAAAAAGTTCTTTTCGTCTTTTCTTAGTAAATAAGGAAAATATCTACTGAGCATCTTCTTAAAGGTTTTCAGGTACTACAAGTTTTTTATTAAGATACTCATTGGTTAAATCTCTTTAGGCTATATTAAGATTCCCAAATACATAAGAAAACAAGTTCCTGCCACCAAATGAGGGACAAAAATGGCAAGAATTGAACAGTGAGCCACTGTCAGCTGGGCTCTGGAAATCATATAAAGTCAGAAATTATATAAATCGGATTGGACAGATGTAATCGTCAGAGTGACTTTATTATTTGTCTTGAAGTTAAAAACTTAAGTGTGTACAACTGGCAGCTTGGTTGTTGTCACCAGTGAGATATGGAGTAACAGAAAGGGAAGTGTCAAGCTCAACTCGCTGACATTCAGCCCTGGACCATGCTGGAATTCCTCAGAGGACCAAAAGAACCTGAGGAAACCCTGTTCCTTTAAGGCTCTTGGTCCAGCAGGATCATGCCAAAATATGATATGTACGAGGATGGCTTCAAATCACAAAATCACAAAATTTGTTCCTAAATCAACCCTTCTCCATGACCACACTCTATCTCGGATCCTTCCTTGCCAACCTCTTGCTTTCTCCTTCTGGCCTTCCATTTGCTTTAATTACATTTCCATATGTGCTGCTTGGTTTATCAGCTCCTTTAGCCTCTGATAAACTACCTTATTTCCTTGCCTCCTGAATTGCCTTCCCATCTTGGCCTCTTCCCCCTACAACAATAAAAAAATTCCCTTCTTCATTTGATAAACATTGACTGGGGTCCTACTATGCGCCTGAAGCAGGGCTAGATACATACTTTGGTTTAATGGAGCTTAGGCACAGCTTAGTTTTGACAGAGGGAGAAGGGCAGGGGACAAAGCATTGTCAGTCTGTCTTTAGGGGTGGAAGATAGTCAAAATAACAAACAGACCCTCAGTGCCTTGGGTAACTTGGTTTTCATAGCCCTGGATAACTTGGTTTTCATAGCCCTGGATGCTGAAGAATTGAGTTCCAGACTCCTAGTGGCTAGTCCTATTAAGACAAAAGACCAAGAAAAAGCTATGGCCCCAGAGAACATCTCTTGCCCACCACTTTCACTCTCTCCTTTGAATTTGCTAATTGTACCCTAGGGAAAGCAGTGCTGAAGATGGGGACAATTTTATGACAACTTTCCCAAGAGAGAAGGGGCTTGCTGCAGCCTTGCTCTTTGGCTGGTAACTTCCCTCTGTTGGAATTGAGTGCACCTGCTGCTAGGGGACTCATGTGCCCTGATGTAGGGCCTTAGATATAATTGCTCATTTTTTTAAAGATTTTATTTATTTATTTGAGAGAGAGAGCGCAAGTGAGAGAGAGAGAGAGAGAGAGGGAGGGAGAGCACAAGGGGGGGGGAACAGCAGAGGGGGAAGCAGACTGCCCTGCCGAGCAGGAAGCTCAATGCAGGGCTCGATCCCAGGACATCGGGATCATGACCTGAGCCAAAGACAGATGCTTAGACGACTGAACCACTCAGGTGCTCCGCTCCTTTTTTTAACTAGTCAAAATTCTGGCGCTCAGATTGAGTCACATAAGGTAAGCAGAATATTTAAATAGGACTATTGTTAGACATTTCTGCCTAGGCATGACACATATTACACTTAAATTTCACATTTTTTTTTAAAGATTTTATTTATTTATTTGACAGAGAGAGACACAGCGAGAGAGGGAACAAAGCGGGGGCAGCGGGAGAGGGAGAAGCAGGCTTCCCGCTGAGCAGGGAGCCCGATGCGGGGCTCGATCCCAGGACTCTGGGATCATGACCTGAGCCGAAGGCAGACGCTTAACGACTGAGCCACCCAGGTGCCCCTAAATTTCACATTTTTAAAAGTCACTTATTTGCAATTTAAAAAGTAGTGAAAGTTTAAAATAATTAGGTCATTGTATGGAATTTTAATAGGAAAGAAAGCCATTGTAAGGCATTTATAGGTTTTGAAAAGAGAAATGACATGTGAAAAATGCTCTGAAGTATTTGTATATGTATGCTTGGTATGCTTGGAGCATTTTGGTTAATTAGGACCATGGGTTCAGAAGGTGATCACCTATTCAATTTCATTATTTTATGGGAAATTGTGGCCTTCAAAGCATTATAAGTTTATGCAACTAAGATGTGGCAAAACCAAGAGTCCAAATCTTTTGCTGCCTAGTTTATTGCTCCATATTGATAAATATGCTTTCTTGATAAAACTTCTTTGGCTTGATCCCTGCTGTTGTAAACATTTTAAAATGCTTCAGAGCATTTCTTTTTACTTAGATCATAGTGAACATAAGTGAATTTTTTTTGAAGGTATGGACTCTCACTGTGGAATAGGGACATTTTTTGGATATTATTAATGCGCAGGAGAATTGACATAAAAGTTGAAGGACATTGGACTAAATCTATATTGATCTAATATTATCTTTAATTTTTAAAAGTCCCAAATTCCTAATATCATGTTTTCCTGTAATTTTTCCCCTTGAGAGTAAACCTAGGAAAATATCAGGTAATAAAGGAATTTGGTTATTTTTATGTAGCTATAATCACAGAGAAGAAAGCAATATTCTTTAGGAAATTTTGCTTTTAGGGGGGAAGTACTGTGGAAAATTGTAATTAGAATAACTTTTGCATACAGAGAGAGCTTTATCTAAAGCTCTGTGAGAACCTGACAAACCTAAATCCAGCACCTCTCGTAGCAGAACTTGGTTTCTAGCCAGAGAAATGACTTGCAGGAGCTGTATTAAATTTATTTAAACTAGAAAGAAAATACATACATATTTGAAGTCATCTCAGAAGGAGAATTTCTGTCATTTTCCTGATCTGTAAGATGATGTTATGGTGTCACCTCTTTAATTCTCCTTAGAGCTACTCAGCTTTTAATATACAAGTAATAAAAATTCATTAGTCTGTCCAAGAATTCTGCCATTAGGCCATGTTGGAAATTTATAAGAAAATCCGGAAATTGTGTTCAGTTCAAAGTAAACAATGCCAGAAGAAGAACTGTGTTATATATCCAGAGAATAAATATTTCTTTGGGAATACAGAATTTTCCAAAATTCAAAGAAGGCAGAAATGGAAGGAACTGTAGTGATAACACAAGGAGCTAGTCTTCCTCATTCCTGCTAGTGAGGAATGGGAATAGCAAGATCTGTGCCGGAAAACCTCATTTTGTTTGCCCTAGTCTTTATAAGAATTGCCAGAATCAACTGATCTAATTCCCTTGTGACTATAGCTCAGTAGAGACAACTGGATTTTGTTGTTTACACCCCTAGATGCAGAATATTTTAGGGGACCTGGCACCATTCCAGAGTATAGAGACCAAAGCCAGCATTACTCAGTTAACCAAAACTGGGCTCAGGGGTGGGAAACTGGTAAGAAGGTCATATATACTTTCTCACAGAAGTGACATTGACAAGGTAGCAAACAAACAGGTATATCAATAATAAAAATAAAGACGACACATTCACACTTACTCTTTATTTTATACTTATACCAACAGCATCCCCACAAAAGTAAGGGTATCTTTCAAGACGCTTCTGATTTGAATTAAGTGACAAGTATGGTCATGATTTTTTTTTTTTTAATATTAATTGTAACTAAAAAATGTTAGCCTGCCCCCATTAAAAGTCCAGAAGCTGTCACTGTGTAGTCAAAACAGTCTTTGACTTAATCTGCCATCTTTTTGACTTGGGCCACACTTTACCTCATTTTTACTGTACACCTGAAGATACAATTGCAAATATTTCGTGACCTTGTGTCAGGGGGCGTGACTTTCTTAGAGGAGCACTACCAATGATTCAGAACCCACCCAGCAAAGCGAAGTCGATGGGCCAAGTTTGCGGACGGACGCCTGGACACCCCCGCACACCAGGGCTCTTTGAAGTTCTGCTGACTTGGCTGTACCCTGCGGTGCTGAGTTCTGGCGCAGTCAGGTGCGGCCCGGGCAGGCGCAGTTATTTATGACTGCGGCGTTGAGACAGGAGTGCCGGGCGGAGGAGCAGCCGGGATCCGCCCCCTTCCCCAGGATCTCCCGGCCCGACACCCCCGGTCGCCCCAGCTGAAGGCCGGCTACAGGGTACCCCAGGCCGCACGTTTGAAGGGCTCGCCCTCAGACAGCATCGAACCTCCGCACACCGACTTCTCGCGAGGTTTCGTTGCCCCCCCCGCCTCCCCGCCGCCTCTTAGGTCTGCTGCGGGCAGCTCCCGCAATGGCTGCACTGCGGAGGCTCCTGTGGCCGCCGCCTCGGCTCCCGCCTCCGCTCTGCCCTCACCATCCCTTTCCTGGGCGGTGGGGGCGGCCTGCGGGGGTAGCCGCGGGCCCGCCTGGCCGGCCCTTCTCCTGCCGGGAGGAGGAAGAGGGGGCTGTGGCTGAGGCGGCTTGGAGGCGGCGGAGGCGCTGGGGGGAGCTGAGCATCGCGGCAGCGGCCGGCGGGGGTCTGGTCGGCCTTGTGTGCTACCAGCTGTATGGAGACCCTCGGGCCGACTCCGCGTGGGCACCCGCCCTGGGGCGCCCCTCGGAGAGCTCGGCCGCAGAGCCGGAGGACCCGCCCCGCGGCCGGGGGCTGCTTCCCATCCCGGTTGCGGCTGCCAAGGAAACGGTAGGTGCGTGAGCGCGTGCGCGCGCTGGGACTGGCCCGCAGGTGACGCCCGAGGGTAGGGCCGCCAAGGTGTTCCACCTGAGCGCCGGGAGGGAGGGTGCGACAGTCCTGCTGGGTGCGCTTGGGACTGTGGGCCACCGTGACGCCGGACATTGGAGGTTCTCGCAGTGTGAGGTCTGCGGCCGCAGATGGGTACCTCCCGGGAGACCGAGACCGAGACGTAGGCCAGGCAGTCCAGGCAGTCCAGGGTGTGTTCACCCAGCTGTTGGGAAGACATAGATGATGCTGTCATTGATGCATCAGGACCTCAGAGGTTGCTGCAGGTACCACCTATTAACCAAAACCCCAAACCAAGACAAAACAAAACAAAACGACTACAAAGAAGTCAAGAGTATAACAGGCAGAAAGTGGAGGCCTGGGTATGTGAGAGATAGGAACGCCCGGGCTGGACCAGGTAACAGCAAATGATCCAGGCGGTCCAGTGCAGTAGGATGAGTTCTGAAGCAGTGGTCTGAGGTCTCAAAAGCAACGACATTATTGCATAACACTTTATTAGTGCCAAGGGAATAAATGCCAAAACTGTATAACTTCCTTATTATAGGTCAGGAAGAATGAAGATATCCCCAGATTGGAAACGGAAAAAACAAAAAATCTATTCAAAAGAATATACCCCGTCCCACCCCACCCCCAAATCAGAAACTCTTAAGTAAGGAAAATAAGTGAGAAGATGGATAGGACAGCACAAATAGGAAACTGAATGAGGCTAACTCCTACAGAAGATCAAGTGGAAATGTTCAAGTATCATTATGCAACTGATAATGTAAGGTAAAGATGAGGGTAGGAGTGAGTGGGGCAAGATGCTTTTGTCATATCGTTGTATTTAATAAATAGTTATGTAAATGACTAGGAGTCACTTAGGGAAATTTTCTTTGCAAGACTAAAGAGTGTGAAGGGCTTAGATGACAGTAATTTAGGAAAGAGGTAGCTATTCTGTTTTTAACTTTAATGAAATGTATAGATTCTTTATTCTTTGCCCAAATACATATTGGTGGTCTGAGGTGAGTGCATCAGTTCTTTTGGTGGAGGTCGTTGATGCATTTAAATCAGGGAATCTACTGTGCTATGGACTTTCTAGCTGCAAATTATAAATACATAGGATAAAGTACTTCTATACAATGAATACTTAAAATGCTAGCAGCAAATACCCTCAACTTTCATCTCCCACTCCTCTTCTCCCCACCCCCCCATACATTAAACTTGTGTCCCCATTGACCAAGACAGAATTTTTCATCAACCATAGTTGATCTGGGAACAGATTAGGAAGGTAGAGAGCATTAAAACAGTATTTTCTTCTTTTTTTTAAATTAATTTTACTTTTTTTTTTTTTTTAAGATTTCATTTATTTTATTTGAGAGAGAGAGCGCACACACACACATGCCTGGGGTGGGGGGCAGAGGGAGCTGCAAACTCCCTGCTGAGCGGGGAGCCCCACTTGGGGCTCAATCCCAGGACCCTGAGATCATGACCTGAGCCAAAAGCAGATGCTCAACCAACTGAGCCACCCAGATGCCCCTAAAATTAATTTTACTTTTAAAGTTGAGAGATAGTATGTAGTTTTTAAAAGACCACACTTAATAGTGTCTTCCTCATAGTTATGAAAATTAAATGAATTAATACATTTTGAATAGTTAGAATTGAGAGATCACGAACAGTGGGGAAGGGTAGAGGGAGAAGCAGACTCCCCGCCGAGCAAGGAGCCTGATGCAGGACTCGATCCCATAACCCTGGGATCATTACCTGAGCTGAAGGCAGACGCTTAACTGACTGAGCCACCCAGGTGCCCTGAAAACTTTTATAATCTCTTTTTACCCTGATATTTGAAACTCATAATAAAGAGCTTTATGTGGGCATTTTTTTATTTATTGTGCTAGGAACTTGAGGATCCTTTCAATATAGAAATTCATGTTTCAAAGTTCTGTATGCTCTTCTTGTATTATTTCTTTGACAATTTCCCTTTCTCCATTCTCTCTTGTTTTCTTTTTCTGGAACCTCTTAGTCTGAAGTTATGCCTCCTGACAGATCCTAATCTAATTCTAATCTTCTATTCTAACTTTTTGATCTTGCTTGTTTGCTTGTTTTTATGGGAGATATCTTTGACTTTATCTTCCAGCTGTCCTATTGAAAGTTTTATTTCAGCTATCCTAATTTTTTAACCCAAAACTATTTTTTGTTCTCTGATGTTCCTGTGGTATAGCCTTCTGTTTTTGTTTTATGGCTGCTAAATTTCTCTTTTTACTATAAGGATATTAATCATAGTTTTGTTTTGTTTTTTCATTATCTTCCACTTCATGCATTGTGTTGTTTCTTCCAGGTTAATTTTTATTCCTGTTTGATTTTCTAAGCTCTCACTTTCATTTTGAAAGTTTTCCTCACGTATCTGTGGTTGTTGCCTTCTATATTTGAGAGCTGCTCAGAAGCTATTTGTACATGAGAATGGCTTTTCATTTGGTGACCTGGGCTTTTTAATAGAGTGGCATCCAAATGTCAGTGGTTTTTGTTTTTTTTTTTTAGTTTGTTTTCTTTTGTTTTGTTTTAGAGAGGGAGGGGGGAGCGGCAGAGGAAGACACAGAGAGAGAATCTTAAGCAGGCTTCACGCCCAGCATGGAGCCCAAAGCAGCCCATCTCAGTCTCACAACCCTGAGATCATTACCTGAACTGAAATCAAGAGTCAGATGCTTAACCAGTTGAGCCACCCAAGCGCCCCCAAATGTCAGTGTTTTCTAAGTCCTTTTCTCTGGTGTCACGGAGTTTCTCCAAAGAATAGGAGAGGTTGGAGGAGCTGTAATCTAGATGCAGGTTCACAACTCCTTGAATTCCCAAGGTCTTAACCTTTCTGGGGTCTGTATCTCCAGTCAGCTCACTTCCATTTGGTTTCCTCCTCCTCAGTACTCAGGTATTGCCTCTGCCCGCCTAGGTCAATTATCATTCATCCATCTCCATTTTATAAAAATTTGATGAATTCTTTTGATTGTCTTAGTCTCCTTTCCTTTTTCTCTTTCTTAGTTCTTATATGTTTCTATCTTTTAAAAAAATTTCTTTTACTGTGATTTTAATGTGGTTAAGAGAGAAAGAGATGGAAAGAAACTGATGAGGTCAGTCTGCCATTTTTCAGAAATATTTAAAGCTGTTTTGCCACTTTACTCATTATGCTCATTTGATTTTCCTGAACTGGTAGAAATTATTCCTTTTGTGGTTTAAAACTATAAGAACCTTTGATTTATAAAACTTCTTTTAAGCAGCATGTTATGCTAAACATAAGCCTAGCAATAAATTAACCTGTACATGTTATGAGACTATAGAATTTAACTGATAGGCATGAATAGCAGTAGCTTACAGATATACAGTTCTATTACCATAGCCTTGAAGATTTTTGTTTTTAAGACGTTGCCTCTCAACTTCCTCCAGGAGGCTTTCCCTTACTCTCTAGATATTAAAATGCCCCTGTTTATCCTATACTACTAGATGATGACTTTTTGCAATTATTTTTTGTCTTCTCTGCTTTTTTTAGCTCTTTAAGGAGAGGCATTGTGTTGGTCGTGGTCTCCTTTATATCTTCATTGCTTGATATGGGACCTAGCCCTGGTAGACACACAATAAATATTTGTCAAATGAATAAGCCCATGCTAAACATTTGCACGGGACATATGCACTGAAAAGGCACAACCACATTCTGTGAGAATTAATAGTTTAATATTTTGTTCAGCTAAATGCTGGTTATTTATAGCATTAGGAGTCAGAAGACTTCGGTCAAGGTCAAAATTCCAGGCTTTGGGAGACCAGTCATGTGACACTGTATTTATTTTAATTGTGCAAGTTTGGCTTGCCAAAATTTTTCAGTAGACATGGCCTTGAACTTTATTAATATTGTAAAGAGATGGTGACAAGATTCTGTTTTGAACCCTACAATTTTAGCCTTAAAACATTATTTTTATTAGTGGGAAAAATTTTGTTCTAGGACTGTCTTTTTGTTTCAGGTTCAAAAAAAAAAAACTTAGGTTGCTTAATACACTTTAATCCATATTTTACTCATTGTACAGAACACATCTATTTTATGACTTGCACATAGTTTTACTCTCAAGTGGAAAAGAGAACAGTATTTGTATCTCTTTGGTATAGTTCTATAATAATTGCCAATAATCAAGCATTTTTTATTTCTTTCACTGTATATCTATTCCAACCTCTTTTTAAGGCAGCACATTTTGAAACAGGAAGTTATGCTTATTCTTTCCCAGAATATCGAAGACTTTGATGGATGTATAAATGGAGAAGATCCTCACTTTTTATAGAGTGAGGGAAGGATCGGTTAATTTTGTGTAGAAGAACATTTTGTAGAGGAGGCTACACAAGGTGGGTGATCCCCGCTTTTTGCTTTCTGAATCACTCAGTGTCAAATCCATCAGATTCCACGCACATTTCTTCTAGTGGCCTGACCATGTTATAGATTCACATACAGTGATTTGAGTGTAGATTTTTTTTTCTAAGTAAATCACAGAATAAAATTTGGATGAATTTGGAAAAAAAAATATATCCTCTTTCTGGTTATACCAAACCAGGAGTTATAGAAGTGCAATACTTTTTGTCTGGGTTGCAGTGAAAGATACTTACAACATTTTATGGATGTCTTTTTATTCAGATCCACAGTGGGAATCAGGAAATGAAGCTGTCATGACTTTGAACTTAAATTAAAAAATCTTCATCTGTAATTCTCTTCTAAGACTTGGAAATTGTCAAATAATGCACAGCAGTCAGTTTGAATGAAGGTGTATACAGGTTTTTTCCCTTGATCTACATAATCTCCACTTTAAAAAAATATAACATTGAGTTGTATTTTGAATTGGAATTCAGGTAAATAGTATTTGGGTTTAATGTGACTTCCTAGTTGATTCTCATATTCTGACATGTAATTCTGTTTATACAATTTGGGGCTGGACTGTTTATGA